TAAAACATACTATGTAAAATGTTTTGCAGAATTATTTACATATTAAAATAAAAAAGCTACACTGACAAACGTAAGTTCGGTTTCACATTAATTTGTTTACAGATTAGAAATATGTGACCAAATGAATTTTAATATCAGTTTAATAATTTTTGTAATCAAATCGACACTTTTTTAAGGCCAGTTTTAATGCTAGCCAAATAATCTTAATTTTTTTTTTTTTAGTTTCAAAATTTTGCTGTAATGCACAGTAGAACCCTGATTATCTGAGGTTTGATTATCTGAGGTTCTGTATTATCCAAGCCTAGTGCAATTAAAAAAAAGAAGGTTTAAAAGCCTTGCTCAAAGAGTCAACAATTCGAAGACTTGGGTTTTAGCATTAATTCTAACTGAAACCTAAAATGAAACTACTGGCACATACTCTTGAAACAATTATCAGATCTAGAAAATAAGAAAAACAGTTGTTTGAAAGCATAAATCAGGTTATCCTGGAAGATGTTATTTATTAGCTCAGAGAATAGTGAGATAACCTGAAATAATCTATCAATCTGAAAAGCTGGCAAAATATTTAAGTGCATGATGATGACAGAAACTCAAGAAGCAGGTAATTTAGTGGCTATCTTAAATCAAACACAAGTTACAGAGGCAGGAATGAATGAAGACGTAAATGACTGGATGCATGTTGATGAACGATTTGAACTATCTTATCAGGCCATTGCAAATTTACTCACATACAATGAAAGTTCTGATGACAAAGACATGGGAATTTTTCATACCGATATCAGTCACACAGGCAGCTTGAACACGAATGAAAATGTACTGCTCTTTGCTCAACAATAAGACAGCACATCACCAGCTGACACTACGATGTTGTGAGGTCTACTACGCAATACGACATCAAGAAAATGAGGCAGCAAAATAAAACAGAAGGCTTTTACTGATGTGTTTTACAAATTTGCGATATGTATACTGTACAGAAACTTATTTGTAATACAGGTAAGTGTTTTCAAGTTTACAGTATGTACTATGTTTAGTACCATATATATATCTGTACATTTGATCATACATACATTTTATATCACTGTGTACCTGAATGAATTCTGTATATTAGTTAATTCTTTAAAGAATATACAATAAGACTACAATAAGTATTAAAATTTTCTTTGTACCAATCCCTGTTGGCTTGGATAATTGGGGTTCTACTGTTTATATATTCCATTATTTATTCACTTAATTAAAAAAAAAAAAAATTTTTTTTTTCTAATGTTCATGCAGACAACAAAGAACTGTACCTTTTTTTAGTTTACTAAGTACAGTTTTTAAATATTTTTGTATGTTTAATTTACCTTTATATAAATGAACTACATCATATAATACCCTCCTTGAATATCGGTTTTCAACAATAAAATAAAAAGAAAAAAGCATGGAACATGTGGACGGATTATCTTTGTTATAAAAAGTTTCTATTCACCATAGAAATATTCTGAGAGCATTTAAGGCCATTTTAATAAGAAAGACAGATATGAAAATTGAGAGAAAGTACATTGTTTTAAAATAAAAATCACATATAAAAATACTTGTCTTATGAAGAAAAGAAAGAAAAAAATTCCAAAATAACAGTTGATGCTGTTTAAAAAAATTATTAAATGTACATTAGATAGGAAATAAAACAGCATATGAAGTCCTATTAAAGAACATGAAGAAAAAAATTCAAGTCTAAAAATATAGTTGGAGCTATATAATATAAGTATTATTTGCCTATCCCAAACCATCAGTTATTAACATTCATTCAAACATTTAAATTACAAGATTCTTTGAAGACAAGGTAAGTTGAGTTGATAATTACAACGAAGATTTATAAGGATTATTGATTACTTGCAGACATTTTAATATTTGTTTATAATGAAGTACACAAAGGATCTCAGGCAGGCAAGTTTGTTTAGAAATTGAAATAACAAAGTGATGGAATACGTTCCATAAAAATCAAATGGTGCTTTTACTGAAGTGAAATTATGTTTTTCCAGAAAAATCGATTGGTGGGCATATTAAAGTGGAAAATATTTCTGATTTGTCAAACTTTTAAAAAGATGTCTGGACAGGTTACAATCAAATCTGCAAATCTTATCATTAAGCAAACATTATCCAAAAAAGATTGGTTATGCCAAGTGCTGTAAAGAGCAGCCTGGCTACAGACCAAAGATCAAAGAAAAAATATCATTCAGAGTTCGAGTTCTAGCTAAGAGCTCTGGTCATCAAAGAATAGCAAGTTTTCACACCTAAAACCATAGTTTAATTGAATCTTGAGAAAGCATGCATGTTTCTACATGCCATGGAGGCATTTAAAATATTGACTAGTCAGAAGTTCTCTCAAATGTTCAGCATTACTAGAAAAGGGGTGGAAGACCCCAGATTCAAGGTAAGGTTCTGATACATTATAAGAAAAGGGAAATGGATGATCACAGGTTGCAAATCTCTGGCCTATATGATATTCTATCGTGATGTATAACATCAGTTAAGCTTATGAATATTATTTGTGTTGGATATTTCTGTCACATTTAATATTTTATACAACTGTCTAGTAATGCTTCAAAAGCTAAGGTTATTCAGTTTATCATTTATTTATTTATTTGCAGTTTCATACATATTTTTAGCATTGAAAACTATGTTTAATTGCAATAAACTTCACAATGCATTAAAATTTTTTTAAAAATCATTTGTCAATTCTGATTTTATAAACAAATTTAAAATACTTTTTTCGATGCTCATGGCAGAGTTATTTGTAAAATGAGTTCTTGCAGTCTCTTATCTGCAAAATGGAAGAAAAAATTTATGTTATGTATTCAATGAATATTAAAAAAGATCAGCTATATAAAATGTACAAAGTCTGCAATTTACATGTACAATATCCAGAATGATCTAATATCCGGGGACTTGTCAATCGGAACCAAATTCTCTCTCTCTCTCTTTTTTTTTTTTTTTTTTGAAAAGGAAGAACTAGATTCAAGAATAACATATACCTAATGCTTCATGCAAGTACAGTAGACATTTTTTCATAATAAGGCATGTGGTGGGTCCTGATTTTAAATTTCACTTCAGTACTAAATAAAACACCTTTACACTGAAGGAACACAATTCTTTACAGTACAAAGTCCCAAATCCAAAAGTCCATTATATGGAATGATCTAAAATCCGGACCTCAAAGCCACAAATCTTTAAATAAAATACCTTGTTATGGTTATACTTATGTACGCATAAATTTGTGAGATTAATAACTTGGCTCTGTAGCCGAGTGTCTACTTGGCATACATCTCAAACCGAAACATTCACCTACGTTATATCCCTGACACCAAACTGGCGAATTATTTATTATATTTTTTCATTATTTATTTCATTATTTATTATATTTTGCTTTCATCACTGCATGTTTATCAATACATGACAGCTTAAGTAATAACTCATGCAGTCATGTCTAACCTTTTTTTTATATTAGTAATTGAATAAGAGTATGGCAACCTTTTCTGCTAACATTACGTTTGGCGATGATTATAGATTTTTAAAAGCTCTAAGAAATGTTGACGAGGAAAAATTCAACAATTTTTTTTCATATGCTAAAAATAGATTTTGTTAAAAATCATTAGTGTTAGTGTAATCATTTAGTGCTATTTTAATTGAGAATAACTGATATGTTATTCACCACAAACCCAGAAGCGGCGCAGAATATGTCGGCACTGAACAGCAGAATTTAGCGAAGACAATTTTTGGAAGCTCCAAGCGGCAAAATTAAGGGATGAGAAGTTTATAATGCAAACTTTTCATAATCGGAAAACATGCATGACCTCGAGCATTTAAAGGAGTAATGATTTTCCCTGTTATATATCATGCAAATAAAAGAGCATGGAGGACACAAGCTTAATGAATGATTGGTTTCAAAATCATTTTATACCTGAGGATCGGCAACACTTGAATTCGGTTAGTTTACCTGACAACTCAAAAATAGTCCTGATTGTAGACAACTGTTCAACATGTAACCACCAAAACCGACCATGAACGCACCCCGTTCGCTTGCGCTCAAGCGATTTAAACCCTCGGCTGCCTTTTTTTTGGCTTGAAAATGGCTGTTGCATTTTTAATTTGTGGCATTGGAAAGGGCTTTTTCATTTTAACTGAGGTATTCAATCCTGCAAAGATTATAACAAGTACAATATCGTTATCATATTTATTAGGAAAATGCCCTCCCATAATTGACAAAAACATCCATTGCGATAATTTTAGCGGTACTGTTTATTCAGGTTTATGAGGTTTTCCAGCTTTATGAGGTTGAAAATTATACACATATATCAAAAGATGAGACAGATACCGTAACATATATCAAAGATGAGACAGATACCGTTTTCTTCTCCTGGTCAGTGAATGAATGAATGCCTTAATTGCTTTTCTCGTCAAGAGTGGGGTGAGGTCGGGGTTGCTGGAATTTGCTAGTTTCGCTAATAATGCCAAAAAAAGGGGATGTTTTCCTGCTGGTCATTGAATGATTGACATGATTTAGCAAATTTTTAAACAAAAAGCTGGATGCAACGTAATCTATCGTTTCACACATTTTTTCCTTCCGTTCTCTTTGTTCAACAGTATTCATATATCACAGCGTAAATTTTACAATATTATTTCTCGAAATGGTAGAACTATATTCTACGGTGGACGCATACACTTTCTACTATATCCAATGTTCTCAACTTAGGTTAACCTGAAGTATAGTGAAGAAAGGTTGAGAACAAAAAAATTTCGATTGACAATTTGGTGGGAATTCTAATAAAGGCAATTACAGGATTTTGTAACTGAACAAAAAATTATGTCTGTCACAACACCGAAGAGAAAGTATTAATACAAAAAAATGAAGCAACTTAAACAATTTACTCTGAAAGAAATAGTTAATAAAGTGGACAAATAAATATTTATCACTTTTTTTTTGTAAATTTTGATTTCTTAATTCATAAATGTTTTATTATTTAATAAAACACTAGTTCAGATTTTTAATTTTATAATTTTTACATGTCATTATTGCTAGATTTAAATTGATGAAGTAAAATTCAGAAAATTCCCAAATCCAGAATCGTGAAAGTCCTGACGAGTCCAAGTTTCAGACTTTGTACAATAAACTTATTTTGTTTTAATAGCCAACACAGACAGTGTAATAGCTAGTGAAGGCTGACTGCTACTTAAAACCAAGGGTATGGTTTGAATCTCATGTGAGATCTGGCTGTATGTGTGTTGTCCTTCACTCTTCTTTGCAGATGAAATATTGGTCATCCCTTATAAAGCACCCTTGGCAATGTTTTTAGTCATTAGATGGCTAAATAATTTATGGGTTTGGCCAGCACATCTATTTAATGCTTAAGAAGGGTAAGACCATTTGAGGGGGGGGGGGAACGAAATTAACATGTGTATTTAGCGTTGCCATTTGAAATGTATATCAAAGGGATGTCAGACAAGTGAGATAAGTCACAATAACAACAGACTCAAACAGATGTAAGCTTCAGCAAGTTCCACATCTACATGCAATTTAAGTGCATTTCAATAACCAAGAAAGAGATATTTTATAAAATAAGCTATAAGAAAAAAATGGTCTCTTGACTGGATATGGGCACAAATGCCACTCTAGAAGTCCAGTGGTGACTTTTAAATTTATAGGTAAAAAAAAAAAAAAAATAATAATTGACCCAATGCTTCTACTTTATTTTTCAGGGTATATCAAACTTTCATTAATCAGTATGCTATTTTTAGCTTACAGAAAGATATAATTGAAATTTTTATACTATTTAATATACCAGCCCAGTAATTAAAATGCTATTTAAAACAGCATCTATTGAAGTTTTCGAAAATCAATAATCCTAATTTATCACTTTATAACGTGATAACTTTTGACTAATATAAGAAAGTTAATAGAAATCATATATACATAAATATAAAAGTTACAATACATAATACTTAAAACTATTTTAAAAATATATCAAGCAACAGATAATTGCAAGCAAAAACAATGTAATACACCTTATTCCCATTTATAGGTCTATTCATCATTCAAAGAAGGCCACATAGGAGCAATGTCAACAATAAATTCATCCATGTTAGCTGCACTTTGTGTGAGGTATAACATATGTCTCTCAGATTCCACGTTTCTTCCTCCACTATAATCACTATGGGAAGATGGTAACCACTCCAAGAAAAAGATGAAAACTAAAAATAAACATGATTTTAAATGCCATTTTTCACAGAAAAAGAATTTCAAGATATACACACTTTTGGAAGCCTTATTTGATAATAATAAAGTGCTAAAAATTTTACTTTCATGTCTTCATATTTGTATTTCAAACTATGTTAGAAATAAAAATTTCTGGACTAATTTTTTACACTTCCTGAATAAGAATTCAACAAAATTTTGATTTTCAAGATAATACAAAATTAATTTGAAGATCTTAAATCATAAGTGATTTGACTTTTCGTTCATGTATATAGGCATGTAATAGCTGAAGAGGTAGCTGTTAAAGGAGAGATGTGAAGGCATCACTAGAGAGTGGCAAGGGGAAACAGCTGTTCCTGAGCGTAGCATCCAGGAGGGGGGCACCAAACTGATGTTATGAATTTTTATAATGAAACGTTTTCCTTTATTGGCAAACAAGAGGGGTGCGAGATCTTCAGCTGACCCTGGGCATTGAAAATCCTAGCTACAGCTCTGGTGAGATGTTAAATATGTGTTGCAATTACTTGGGCAGGCTTTTATATGCGGATGAGATAATACACTTGCAGACATGGCCATACATTCAATATAGTCTTATTTCATAATGAATCAAGCCTTGATAAGCATAAACATGTTCACACATCATCATTATGGATGCACTATGCACCCCACAACTCTGTGCAGCTTACATCTTTTTAGACAAAGGATAAGGTGAAGCAGGAAAAAGGAGCTGCAATATTAGTAGTGATATATGAATAGGTTTTTTTCTTTAAATTTTGATCTGTGATTGGATAAAAATTATCTACAATGGTACTCTTACGTATGATATGGATTAGTTTTCAGATGACACACTTCAGATTCATATATTAGTAGTTTTGATAATTACTAATATATGAATCCTACAGTAATGGGACATAGCTAAACTAAAATGAGGAACAAAAAGGACTATTGTTAAATTAAAAGTAATTTTCTTTCATATTTCAAAACTCACACACACATATATAGACAGAAAGAAAATTTATTAATAAAGTAAGGACTAATTTAGTCATTCCAAAATTATATAATTAAACACAACTGTAGAATTATGTAATTAAAGGGTAGCAATTTAATCATTCCAAATTTATATAATTAAACACAACTGTAGAATTATATAATTAAAGGTTAGCAATTTAGCTTAAGATTTTACTTGCTGTTTTTTCACCCCACTTATTTGTTTCTTTCATTTTTTAAATTAAAATTAAAAATATAAATATTTTCTCTTTAAAAAAATTAGAGTTTAAATTAAAAATTTACTTTGTTGCACTTTTAAAATACTTAAATTAACTTAATTTTAAATAAACTTTCTTCATTGGCATTTTTTATAATTTTTGAAATGTATTCAGTATTAAAAATTATCTAGATAAATGCTGTTGAAAACTTTTCAGCTGCTCCTTGAAAAAGACAGAGGACTTTTCAACAGTTTTTTTTCTTACAATTATATACTCTTTATATTTTATAATTAAAAAAATGAATTGTCTTTGTATTTTTAAAGGTTTTCTGTATTTCCTCTTGGCAAACAGCTCAACTTTTGATTTGATTTTGATCTCTTGACTTAATAATTAATAATCTTTTGGAGGATCAGTTAAAAGTATTAAAATATAATTTCAACTTTTCAAAGACATCTAAACCTTCTATTCTTCAAATCATCACCCCTATAGAGAAAGCCTTTAAATTCTCCAAAATTTCGGAAACGCAGAAGGATACAATCCGCCACCTAATTACTCATAACATTAATTTTAACAACAAATCTTTGGGTTCAAATCTGAGCAAAAAGGAAAATGAGATCTTACGTGAAATTCATTCTGATACTAATATCATTAGCTCTAAAGCTGATAAGGGCGGACAGATCATTGTTATGGACAAACACACATATATTACTGGAGTCTCTAAACTGATAAATGAAGGCCCATACTGCTCGATCCCTAAGATCCTTCAACTTCGGACCTTACGAAAGTTAAAAGTGCTATCAAATCTTCTCACATTCTGCCAACTCAGTTGAAGAAATCACTTATTCCACCTATTACTAATTGCGCTAGGCTTTATGCTCTTCCAAAAGTCCACAAAACCGGTATTCCTTTTCAACCAGTTGTTTCCAACATAGGTACTGCTTCATATCCTTCGGCTAAATATTTAGTTTCCAGATTTTCTCCTCTACTTGTTAACAATATTCACACTGTAAAAAATTCTGTTGAAGTCATTGATAAACTTAAAAATATTTCTCCACTTCATTCCATTATGGTTTCATTTGATGTCAAATCACTGTTTACTAATGTTCCGGTAGGAGCACTAAATTGTCTTGAAACTAGGCTTCGGGAATTTCACTTCACACATACTGAAATTAATGAGTTGGTTTCGCTTACTAAAGTTTCTCTGAGTCAAACCCACTTTGTTTTCCAAAATGCATATTTTCATCAAGTTGAAGGATTGGCTATGGGTAATCCTCTCAGTCCGGTACTTGCTGACATTTATATACACTATTTTGAGATGAAATTATTTGATAAACAATCTTTTCGTCTTTGGATTTGGTATGTTGACGACACTTTCGCATTTTTTGACGGTTATAAAGAGGATTTATCCGAGATTCTATCTATTATGAATTCAATTGATACAGCCATCCAATTCACTCTTGAAATTGAATCCAACAATTCCCTCCCCTTCCTCGATATTCTTATAATCCGCAATGAAACTAATTTTAGCACCACTGTGTACTGTAAACCCTTTGCAGTTTGTTTACCACCACATGCCAAGTAATGCCACCCTGTTAAGCAAAAAATGGCTTCTTTTTACTTAAAGTTTGTTCCTTTGAATCTTTGCTTACCAATGAACTTAATTATTTGAGAGCAGTTGCGATTGACCGTGGATTTTCTCCCGTGATTATTGATAAAGCCATTAAAAAATTTTCAGATTCCCATCAAAGACGACATTCCACTGTTAGAAATAATATGAATGACCTTGTCGTGCTTCAATTTTATCCTTCTGTTAGCTATAAAATTGCACGGATTCTCCAGAAATTCAATTTTCAAGTCGGTTTCTCCCCTATTAATAAAATTCACCCTTCGATTCTAAAAGATTGCGTTTCTGTCTCGAATTCTTGGGGAATTTATAGTATATCGTGTCAGTGTGGTTTAAGATATATTGGCCAAACAAAAAGAGCATTGAAGTTTCGTATCAAGGAACATGAATCTTATGTCAGAAATGCGAAATTAACAAGTCTTCAATAGCGTATCATAGTTGGACATTTAACCATAATTTTGACTTATGGGTCTGCAAAAATTATCCAAAAGGCTTCTTCCATAGGTGAATTGGATTTTCTTGAGGCTTTTCATATTCACCAAAGATTTAGCAGGTTTAGTTAATGATTTGAAGTCCAATCCAGTCCTTCCTAATGCCTTTAAAATTCTACTATCTTAATTCAGTTATTTTTGCCGATAGATGGCGTTACCTCCTCGTGTTTGGTACTACCAGAGGGTATAAAAATCTGTTCAGTGGTTGCTTTCCATTATTTGAAGTTCAGATTTTGAGTGTGAAGGTGCATTTGCCACTCGCTCCCTATGTTTAACTTCGCTAATTTTTCTTGTCCTTTATGCTTGATCAGATAGCCTGGCTCAGTAAAAGTAGGCGGCCAGTGCAACTCTGATTAAAAATCCAGTTATAACCACGTGCAGTGCTGATAAGGATTACGTGTTTCTGAGACTCCTTCCCCTTTATTTTCTTCTTTCCAGGTATTTCTTTCTTCTGATGAGGAGGGACCTTTAGCTGCCCTCGAAATTGATTGAGTGTTTCAATATACTTACACTAAATACAAGGTTGTTTTTACGATTTTGATTAATAATTAATTTTAGAGCATATTGCACAACTTTAATACATCATCTTAATTTGAAATTTCTTATCTCTTATTTATTATATAGATAACATGATAAAATTAAGTGCAAAATAGGACCTTTCAAAACTTAAATCCAGCGTCAATGCTGCTGAGATTGTTAATTAAAGTAATTAAGGAAATCAATTAAACCTTTCCAAGATAAATTTTTTTAGAAATGCAACATTATTGTGAGAAAAATAGAAATGACTACTATCTAATAGCTTATAGCTAGAAGCTACTATTGGTGATGGTACTAGAAGACACATGAAAATGAAAATTATAAAAGAAAATAAAACTAGTAAAAATGTTGCCTAATGAACAAATCCAGATTTTTTACTCTTTAGGGGCTGTAATCTAAATTGTTCCATTAAGCATGACCAAAAAGTTATACAATAATTGTTTCTATCTTTTTCAGTAAACAAAAGCACTCTTTTTCTGTTATAATAATTAGTGGCCTTTCAAAAATCAAGAATAACACTCCTATGCTTTTTTGGAAACATTACACTTAACTAATTGCAAATAATTTCAAAATAAATTTTAGATTGTAAACTGTTCATGTAGCTTGAAAAATTCAAAAGAACCAACTAAGTTGAAAAATATGTGACAAAGTTAAAAAAACAAAGTAACTATAAAATTGCAAAAACATTAAAATACATTCTAGATTCATAATTAGCATATCATTAATATGATCCTGACTATGTTACAGTGACTAAAATGCAAATTAAATTAATATATTAACAAGGTCCAAAGACTTATATGTCTTTTTGTTCCTTCAGGGGGAAAAAAAATGTTTGTTGCTATCTTTCCTAGAATGAAATAAGGTTAACAGTGGAATATCAGATGAGAAAACTGATATTCCACTGTTATTCACTGGCGAAAAACGTTTTGCGATTAAACCCTGGTGACTTTTAACATTGGTGCATTTGTAATCTTGTGAGAAAATTTTGACATAGTATTTCCAAGAAGTGAACAGGGTTGCTATTAGCATAAATTTAACTATACAAATTATTACAAAAAAAAAAAAAAAAAAAGTGAACTGCAGCTATGTTTTAAGCACCCCATATAGTTAATGGCTGCTGTACTATAGGACAGTCTACA